ATTAGCGCAGGTACAGACCGGTATGCTTTTCGCACCAGCTTCTCCACCTCTAGAGCCCACTGCTGCAGGTTTTCGTTGATGCGCTGCACGCGATATTTAAGCTGCGCACGAAAGACGTGTTCCAGGTGAGCGTCGCCATATCTTGCCTCGAATGCCTAAAGGAGCTGCTCATAAGACACTTCCTCACCGAGAGCTTCCAGAACAGTTAAGGCCTGGTCACGCAGGCTTAGCCTGAGAGCAGTCATGGCCTGACTTTTATTCCAGCCATTCGCTTTCATGACAGCCTCGAACTGGATTTTGTAGGACGACCAGGAAGAAGTCCCGTCGAACGGCGGCACTTTGAACCCACGTAGCGAAGGTGTTGTAGCTACTACGGGAGCTGTGACTCCATCCCCCAGTTTGAGGTCTTCTAGCGTTTTCTTCACGTCAGCCATCACGTTGTCTACCCGATTGTTCACTTGGTCGATTCAGGTGTTCAGATTTCTCGATTCGGGTTTCAGCTTCCGACAGGCGGTTGTCATGTTGAGCAATCTTATCTTTCACCTCCTTCATCTCCTTCCCGAAGGTAGCGTGAAGGTCCTTCATGAAGATTATCTGCTCTTCCAACCGACGGGCCTGTTCCTCTTGTCCGCCCCGCATCTGCTCTTCCAATCGGCGTGCCTGTTCCACCTGCTGGTGGGCCTGTGCATCCTGCTGCTCTTTCAACCAACGGGCCTGCTCCTCCTGTCGACGGGCCTGTTCCTCCTGTCGGTGGGCCTGTTCCTCTTGCTGCTCTTTCAACCAACGGGCCTGCTCCTCCTGTCAGCGAGCCTGCTCCTGTAGCATCACTTTGGGTACGGACACCCTCCGTTTCTTCCTTAGGTAAAATCGGCATGATTTTATCCCACTTCTGACACCAATTGTTACGAGCTTGAGGTTCGTGACAATAAAAACTGCCGATTGAATTACTAAGCTTCGCTTGTCTCGCCAAATTCAATACTGCCCCGGTCGCGTATTGCAGAGCCTTTAAATACACCTTTTCACCGAAACATCCAGATTATTCAAGTAAATACGCACGCCAATCGAACTGGCGCCGAAAGTTTGAGTGTGGGGCTTCTAGAAAGCTTAGTTCTTCAATTAGATACTAGATGGCGCAGTTGGTTGAAAGATTAGTCATGTCATTTTCTGGAAAGCTCTCCTCGCTCTATTACCCGATACTAGATGTCGCTAGTGCCAGACGTCAACTTAGGCGCGCAACACTATCATAAGTACTTCAATATAATATAAGGATAGAGTAAGTCAAAGAGTACGTTTGTGCTTGTGCATAAGCTTGCTGGACTAATTGCAAAGTAAACGCCTTTTGAAATATTCGGGCGTTATCACAGCGATTTAAATCAGCTACCTGAAAATCATCAATCTTTTAAAATTGCTTTGATCACAATGAAAAATACCTCCTTATTTCAATTGTAAGAAAGGTTAGCGAAAATATTCGGGTCTTAACTCTTTCAGATAAGGAATTCAGCTATTATAGGCAAACAATTAATCAACCGTTGGCCTAGAACAGTGATAAGGCAAACCTTTCTTCAATTAACTTAATGGTGATTCTTCTTTTCGAACTTTAACTGTTAATATAAACTATTACCACATGTATTCATTATTCTTTTCTAAATCCTGCTATTCATGGCATTTTTACTGTGTATAAACGGCGTTAATAGAAAATCATAATATTATCTTTATATAACACTTGATATAATCGTAAAACGATACTCGTCAATAGGTAAATAGGTATATACCTATTAAAACTATAAAAAAACAAATTTTTGCGGTCCTTAGATGAGATCAGCGATCATATTTCACTACAATCACTATCACATTATCAACATCACAAGTCCACTGCTGTGCTGAACATAATTTGCCACAAAATACGGTTCTGGGCCACATGCATCTGCACTTGATAGCATGAGAATGCCACTCGTGGACCTCTCTTCTCCATCGTTTGTCGTTATTTAAAATATATGGCAAGCCTATTTCCTGATTCCTTACTGATCGGCTGGTATATGTCAGTTTGTCTTGTTTTTCTGTCGATATCCTCGTCAAGAGCTTCACATGACCGGTAGTAAAATTCATACTTTATTCAAATCTATTATAAAATTAGTACATTTTATAAAAGACTCTAAAAATGTAACAATTTTACTTTCTGACAGCGACTTCATCCACGTGGATTTTAAAATATCCTGAAACCAGTTAGAAAATATTTTAGACCACAATAACAATCTAAGCAGAAGTTATTTTGCTAGAAACAGCCCCTTACCAGGATGACTATACTAGGCTGCACTAAAAGTATCGGGAATGGAATATTTCCACTGTTCCTGTCTGTTTTTAATTGAAAACTCCTTGGTTTTAAAAATCGAATACCATTTATTTATTTAAAAAAAAAAGGTTCTCGGTCTTGTCACAAGGTTTTGTCAAACTTGTTTAGTCGTTGTGAAAATGGAATTGACTCGAGAAAATTCAAGAGCGATGATTTATTATGACTTTCGAAGAAGTTTAACACAAAAACAGTGTGTTGACCGGATGATTTCTGCATTTTTTGATGAAGCCCCATCCAAAACTACAATTTATCGCTGGTTTGCTGAATTTCAACGTGGACGTGTCAAGCTCAGTGATGATCCCTGTCAAGGTCTTCCAAAAACTGCAGTCACCCAAGAAAACGTTGATGCTGTGCGTAAGCTGATTGAGGAAGATCAACATGTGACATACCGCAAAATTCAGGAAACTTTAGACATTGGCATGAGTTAAATACAAATAATCTTGCATGAACAATTAGGTGTAAAAAAGTTGTTTTTCCGATGGATACCGCATTCGCTCTGTGAAGAGCAAAAAGCGGCGCTACTTGGTGCGTCAGAACTCTCGAAAGATTCCACGCAGGATCCTCAAGTGTTGTATACAATATCGTATCAGTTGACGAATTTTGGATATACACGTACGAATCTGAAACAAAATACCAGTCACGAGTTTGGGTGTTCAAAAATGAGTTAAGGCCAACAAAAATTGTTCGTTCACGGAGTGTTGAAAAAAAAATGGTGGTCACGTTTGTCTCCAAAACCGGCCATGTTACGACTATTCCTCGTGAGGGACAAAGAACGGTTAATGCAGAATGGTATGCTAGCATTTGTTTGCCACAGGTCGTTTCTGAACTCCGTAAACAGAACTGCAACTGCCGCATCATCCTCCAACACGAAAATGCGAGTTCTCACACCGCACACAGAACAAAAGAGTTTTTAGAGAAAGAAAACATAGAATTATTAGACCATCCGCGTACAGCCCCGACCTAAACCCTAATGATTTCTATACTTTCCCTAAAATAAAGAATAAATTCCGTGGACAGAGATTTTCATCACCTGAAGAAGCTGTGGACGCCTACAAAACGGCCATTTTGGAGACCCCAACCTCCGAATGGAATGGTTGCTTAAATGATTGGTTCCATCGTACGGAAAAACGTGTCAAATTTCACGGAGAATACTTCGAAAAGCAACAAATACAATTTTAAATAGTAATGTTGTGTCACTTCCTTGATTCCCAAAATTTTCAGTGCCGCCCTCGTAGACTATAACTTGATTTGGAAATCTGTATCAGATCTTAATGTATTTAATGACTAAAACCGAAGCTTCCGATTCAAAGGCTGAAACTAGTACGAATACAATAACTGGAGAGATCTCTTTATACATTTTTTTCTAATATCTTACTATCAGTGAGGGCTAATATTTTTAAGCTCACCGTATGTCACTTTGCGTTTGTTCATAGTTGTGACAGGTGATCTATTTTGTAACCTAGATAGTCACACGTGTCGTTGTCATAGAAAAATTGTGTTAGAAATTAAAAAAAAATTATTGCTAGTGTATTTATATTTACAAAACAAGATCTCACTGTTGTATTCTTTAATTTTTTACACATTTTAAATTTTTATTTAAATTCTTCTGCCTTTGAAAATATCTGTAGTATGTTTATCAGTTTATAATCGAATTATTGAATTAATATGCAATATAAGCAATATTACAGGAAGAAATTTACATTTTTCTAACAAATTAACTTCCCCCGCTATGAAATCTGTCAAATATTTCACATTATCCAAAATTGTTTCTCCCAGGTGGCAAAAAAAGTTGAGAATAGCCTCCTTAGCAACCGTTTACATTTTTCTTGGGTTCAATTTATATAACAAAAAAATCTCTTACGTACAAAATTCTTGTAAATGAAATATTAACTTTTAATGAAAATAAAGCCAACTTCAAAGTACTAAGAAAACAGAACTTTAATTCGTTCATGAATTTATTTTATACTCTCTCTTAGCACCGACTTCAGAAGGGTCAAATTATTTTATTCTTTTTAATTCTTTGAAGTCGGCTTTTAATTTTGATTTAAAGTTAACTTTTTAACGTGGAACGAGGAATAACACAGTCTCAATATCGTCTAAATAGTTGAGGGAAATTTTTCTCCGAACTTATGTGATATATAATATGTGCAATATATCCCATACGTTTGGAGAAAAATATATATGGAACCACACCTTTGGTACCTATAACCTACTTAATAAAAGAGAGTCATAAAAATTGGTCTACTAATGACGAAGATATTGCATAACATACATACAAAAACATATAATCAAATTATAAGCTTTCTCATTTTTTCTATGGTAAAAAAGTTTATGAAACTTTATTTATACATGTTTAATATGTAAATTTCATATTTTTTATTTTTTAAATCAATTATATATAACTGAAAAGCGTGGAAACCACAAAACTTTATGGAAATTTTATATATAATAAAAAAGTTTATGAAACTTTATTTATACATCGCACATACGTTGCTATAACGTCACTTATGCAATTTTTCTCAAAACTGAACTGAGTATGAGAAAATACACCTAATCTAACTCTTTACTTGGTGCGTTATTGTCGTTTGTGTAGTACGTATACTTTTCGTGTGAGGGCACTAATGTCGTTATGGTTTTGGCGTGAATTTGAATGCCACTGGGAGAAACAACGTTTCATTGGTTAGTTGCGCACGGCATCCCGCACAAGAAGCAGTCTCCTGGAGGTACAACGTTACTAAGGTAATTGTGACAATTTATTTTTATGTTTTTGGAGTAATAACGACACTTATTTAGTTGTGACGTTTGTATCTTGAAACAACAATATGACACTTGTGTAAGTAGTGACGTTGTTTCCCCAATATTTGTATTTTATGGTATAAAGTTAACGTAAGATTAATGGTTGTGACAATATTGCTCCATTATAGTAGGATTAATGTTTTATTTTATAATTATTTTATATTTTTATGATAATTGTTCCGACATGATCAATTGACTCCTTTAAGGATCTAATAAGTAATTATTTTGTATTAATTAAAAATTATAATATCGGTAAATCATTCGATAATATATTTTGTTATTATCACATTTTTGTTTACCTTTTTGTTATCATTATGTAGGTATTTTATTTCTTTCAGATCTGAAATGAACCAACGCAGTAAAAACCTTGTGCTACTTGCACTTTCAAATGGCAATCAAAACTCCGTTGAAGTGCAAAATTTAGCCAACTCTACAAGGATGCCATGTTCTGAACATACATTGTCTCATCATACAAATTCCGAGAAACAAGTAACACCAGCCAATCTAGATGACCTTACAACAACTACTCCAGAGCAGAATGATACTACTTTAGAGAACCCCAGTAACTCTCCGTCTATTTTATATGCCACTAATGAAACGAATGAACGAAATAATATCGACTTCCCAACAGGTGATTTCTCCGGCACTGATTCAGGAGATGACCCTCGTGCAAGGTCGTCTTCATCCAGTAGCTCCAGAAGCAGTTCCAGCTGTAGCTCCAGTAGTAGTTCCAGTGGCAATTCAAGTAGCAGTTCCAGTGATACTCCTGCTGAGAATAATAATTCTAATAATGAGAGTCTTTTTAACGGGCATAACCAAACAGAGCAACCTATAACTAAACCAAGAGGCAGAAAGCGTACGCGTAATCCAACAACCTGGAAAAAGAATGTTGCTAAGCGATTGAAAAATTCTGGTCAAACTTATATCTCAGTAAACACCAAAAAACTAAATCAAGGTAAGACAATGGGACCTTCATGTACCTCAAAATGTCGGTTATCCTGTGCTGCAAAATTTACTGAACAAAAAAGGACGGAAATATTTAAGTCTTACTGGAAGTTGGAGAGTGTAGAAAGGCAACGGGGTTTTTTAAACGCTTGTACAAGAACACTAAAATGTGCTTACCGCCGCATAAAGACTAACAAAATGTACGACAGAAAAGAAAACACTGCATATTACTTGCTTAATGAGAATAAAGAGATCCGCGTCTGTAAAACTTTTCTGATCAACACTCTGGGTATCACACAACGGATAATACGGACTGTTATCGACGGCAAAGCACAGAATGATGGCTTTACGCCACCTGATCAACGAGGAAAACACGGAAAGCAATGCAAATTGCAACCTGAAGTTATACAAGCAGTAAAGGACCATATCGAATCAATTCCAAAGGTTGAAAGTCATTATCTCAGGGCTAATACTAGCAGACAATTCATTGATGGGGGTTTGACAGTCGCAGCATTGCACAGAAATTATTCCGAAATTCAGAAGCAACAAAACAAGCCTATTGTAAACTACGACGTCTACTCACGGATTTTCAACCAAGATTTTAACATTGGATTTTTCAAACCCAAAAAAGATCGTTGCGATGAGTGTGAAGCATACGAAAATGCCTCTGAAGTAGAAAAGAATAAATTACGTGAAAGCTTCAACTTACATCAGGAAGAAAAAAGCTTAAGTAGACATGAAAAAGACAGGGATATGAAAAGATGTCATGAACCTGATAACAACACAATTGTTTTCACCTATGACTTGCAAGCGGTGTTACCCTGCCCTGTTGGCAAATCAAGCTCGTTTTACTACAAATCAAGACTTAATTGTTATAATTTAACAATATCTAACGCAAACAAACGAGAAACAACCTGTTATTTTTGGCACGAAGGGTTGGGCAATAGAGCCGGTGCGAATAGTCGTGCGAAATAGGGTCGTGTGTGTATAAATACCTGCAGCAAATAGCATTTGAAAAACCAGGCTGTGATGTCATAATTTATTCCGATAATTGCTGTGGTCAGCAAAAAAATCGATTTGTTTTTGCAATGTACTACTATGCAGTGAATAACTTAAATATTAACTCAATTCAACACAACTTTCTGATTCGTGGCCACACGCAAAATGAAGGTGACGCAGCTCATTCAGTAATAGAAAAATCTGTGACTAGGGCCAAAAATGCTGGTTGTATTTATGTTCCCTAATTCGTGGGGCCAAAAAGACTGGTAAACCATTTGTAGTAAATGAAATGAATTATGACGATTTCTTCGATTTGAAATCACTTGAGGAGAACATGAACTTTAATATGGCGAAAAATGTCAATGGTGATGTTATCAAGACCGGTGATATCAAAAGTATTAAATTCACCAAGAATTGTGTAAATTACCAATATCGAACCACTTACAAAACTGAAAACTGGGAGGAAGCAAAAGCTGTTGTTCAACCAAAAAATTTAGGCGGCAATAGAGGCAATCGAAGAATAGATGAAATTATCTTGAAGCAAGCTTTACATTTGCAGGAAAAACAACTTTATTGTAACCGCAGCGTTAAAGACTCCCCGATTTTCCTGGTAATGTGGCAGTGATTCTAAGTTAAGAGTGTTTACCAAATGAAAATTAGGATAAGTAAAAGAATTTGTATTTGATACTGTTGATTATTATGTAATTAAAATTTAATACCCTATGGGTACAATGACTGTGATTATAACGCCTAATTAATAGTAGTTTTATGGATAATTGCAATGATAAGGTTGATTTTTCGTTGGTTGATCGCCAGTGATTAACCTGGAATCGTAACAATTGTTTATGTTTTTTATGACTGTTTGCCAAATTTGTATTAGAGATAAGTAAGAGAATATGATACAGTTGATTATTGCGTAATTATATTTTTTAAATGCCAAACGTGATCAATCAATGATTCATTGAACACGAAACTTCACCTAATTAATAGTGGAAGATGACTGTTATTAAAAAGTTTGATTATTAGAATTTTTTTTGTAGAGTTAAGAAATTTTGTTATACTTCTTTGCTACTATAATAAATATTATTTTATAATATTATGATTTCGTGTTTTGTTTGTTTTGACATAATTGTCAGGTTAATTGTTTTCTAGTGCCATAACGTCACTTCTGTGGGGGTAGTAATTTTTAAACGTTTATATTTTTTTAATAGTAATTAGTGAGATGTTTGCTTTTACCTTAAAATGAAGTTTAAAGTTGTAGTTTAAATATTATCATTTTATTTCTTTAGTCGAGAAGAACTATATGTTGTAATAGGGTGTTGAATTTTCAAACGCTTCTCCTGAAAAATTACATCATTTGCATAAGTGACGTTATAGCAACGTATGTGCGACATGTTTAGTATGTAAATTTTATATTTATTTTTATATTTTTTTAAAATAAATTAAACATAACTGAAAAGCGTGCAAACCACAAAACTTTATTGAATTTTTTAGAATTAAGAACAGATAATAATTCTGGAATCAGTCAAATTTCTTTTTTGCAGTTTCTTTAAAAATGTTATAAAGCTTCAGGTGTTAACTTTTAAAAGAGTTAATAAAAAAGTAAGTTATTCTGAATATTGAATAGATGAACTGATTTAATTGTTGATAAAAGTAATTTAATTGATGGACTAATTTATTTATTGACAAGCGCGGCAATCACCGCTCCGTGCTTGCTTTGCATGAATTCGAAAAAACTCTTGGAAAATAAACCATTGACGTTCCTGAAATAATAGTTTGACGTCATAGACGAATTAATTCTGATTCATGCCTGCAAATTTAACTTCAGTGAAGATGAAATACGAAATGTTATACCACAGTTTTTTGAGTCGCTGGATATGGTCGATCGGATGCCATTCCTATGGAGGGATCAAAGGGTAGATGATTCTTCGTGACATATTAAAAAAGTTGAAGGCAATGGATGACGTGCCACGTAGTTCATAGCAAGAGACTTGTGCAAGCTGCGCGTTTAATGTTGACATCCCACGCTGCTGAAAGACAACACAAGTTTGGAAACTAGTCTGGCCGAGATGCACTTGAACTGAGAATTGTCTCATTCTCCCATCGAAAAGCTACGTAATGAAGTAGTAAATTTACATAACACTATAACGGGTCTTGCTTGCAGTAGGATATACGAGCGTACTGATGACGTACGTCATGGAACATTCAATCCATCGCAAGTAAACTTCTAGGCATCAAAATATGGCTCGTTTTTACCAGCTGCCGCCACTGCAAGCAAACTCCGCTATGCCTCTATGCCGTGATCCCTGTTGGAGGGAGCCGTCAATTCAACTTACAATTAAATAGCAATTGTTTAAACATAAGTCAGAGGGCGTACAAAGATCTTCTAAACCTATTTAAATATAATGCTTACGGCGACATATAAAGGACTGATGGGCCTAGGGGGCTACGTAATTAGTACGGTAGCATACTGAAAGGACCAAATATGCTGCTGCGTCCTGCTACGTCTGTGAAGCAGCTAAACGTGTCCAACTGTATTACTTCAAAACCGGGGAAATCGTGGTATACATAGGAGTTAAATGTAATTTTATAATATCGCGGTCCCGTCGTTTTCTGGCTCTAGAAATTTGAAAAATCATCCGATTTTGATGAAGTATTTTCTAATCTTCCTTTTTACGGCGGATTTACGAAAACATTACAGGAATAAAAACATTAAAACTTTTATTGGTTTCAGGGCCTTAAATGTTCATGAAAATGCACTCATTCACGTATAATTGTTAATAACTTTTTTACAAATAATCAAATGAAGTTGTTATAATTTTTTCATAATCTACACAAAAAACAAACATTAAAAAAACATTGAAAAATATTTGTTTCATCATCATCATCATTACAGCCCTTCACAAGTCCACTGCTGAACATAGGCCTCCCCCAAGGTATACCACAAAGCACGGTCCTGAGCCACCTGCATCCATCGACTTCCTGCATGGTTTACCAGGTCGTCACTCCATCTAGTGGGGGGTCACCCTACACTTCGCCTACCGGTAAGAGGCTGCCACTCGAGAAACTTTTTCCCCAACGGTTGTCGGTTCTTCAAGCTATATGGCCGGCCCATTGCCACTTTAGCTTACTAATCCGTTGGGCTATGTCGATCACTCTGGTTCTACTGCGGGTATCCTCATTTCTAAGTTTATCACGCAGAGAAACTCCGAGCATAGCCCTCTCCATAGCTCGCTGAGCAACTTTGAGCGTGCTCATATGGCCAGCAGTGAAGGAACACGTCTCGGTTCCGTAAGTCATCACTGGCAACACGCACTGGTTGGTAAACCTTAGTTTTCAGGTTTTGAGGTATGCCTGACGAGAAGATATGTCTCTCTGTCGAAGTTGGACTTATCTAGTTGGACTATTTGTCCCAGGTAAACGTACTCGTCAACAACTTCGAGCTTAGTGCTCCCAAAAACGACCGGCGTAGGTGCAACATGAACATTAAACATGATCTTTGTTTTGTGCATGTTCATCTTAAGATCTAATCGTTGGGAGGCACTATTGAGGTCATTGAGCATATTTCTTAGGTTCTCTAGCGATTCTGCCATTAGGACTATATCGTCGGCAAATCGAAGGTGAGTGATGATGTACTCGCCATTGATGTTAAAACCGTATCCTTTCCAGTCCAGTAGCTTGAAAACGTCTTCCGATGCAGCAGTGAAGAGTTTCGGGGAAATAACGTCACTCTGTCTTACACCTCTCTATAGTTGGATAGGTTTCATATTCTTGTTCTTAATAATATTTTTTTATTATTAAGCTATTGCATGGCTTCTATCGCGGGCCTTGAGTGCGGGAAAATCCAGAAATTTCGTAACGAAAAAAATCTCACGCTCTCCGACGGGCACGGAGGTGTGGCTTGAAGGCCGTGCATTGTCTAACGATGGTCTAACGTCGTTTCTTTTCCTCAGTCTTCGACACGGTGTTTATGTAGAAAGTGTTTTGAAATTTTGAATATGAATGAACAAAGTGCATTATATTATTAAGGCTGCTCTCTCGCAAAAAAGCTTGAAAAAAAGCGTGCAGATGAACCAACTTTTCGTCGACACTTACAGAGAAATTACATATGAAAAAAATAACTAGTAATCTACATGATCTGATACGTAATTTGGTTTAGCCATAATTTTTCTATCGGTGTCACATAATAAATAAAAAAAATACCCAAATCACCTCCAAATCGTTGAGATGAAACCACTTTACTCCTTCATTGTTTATCAAAGGAATATAAAAAAAATATCTACTGCTTTGCAATACAAAATAAAATAATTTGGTTTGGTTACTTTTTAGAAATATGTATTATTTTTATGATAATAAATTAAAAATGCGTCCCGATTAAATACTGCATCTATATCACCCCCCATTCGTCCACGATTTCAGTGCGGGGCGCATCGTGTTGCTAGGTGGACGTACGCCGCGTTGCGAGAGCTCAGCACTACGAAATAAAATCGTAAAATATTACTGCAAAAATTTAATTTTGTTAATAGTGCAGTAGGTTTTTATATATTTTTATAGAGTAAGGGTGACAAATAAGCATACAGTCCATTAACTTGTAAGTGGATGCTGTCGCCCATAGATATCTACATCAGTTATCGATTAAAAATCAAAATGTAGACGCGTAGTCACCTCCGAGGACTAAGATGGAAATGTCTAATTTCTAATACCAAACAGTTTCGTTTTTCTTCTTAAGCATATCATGTTCTGTTGTTCTGCTGCTCCTCGCCGGTCCGAGTATTTTAATTCTTATGTAAACTAAATAGGTGTAAACATGATGGGCATTGGCTTTATGCCATCTATCGGAAGCCATAAAAGTTTTCTGTCGTTGACTGTTATCGTCTTTTACGACACCCATGGGATCCAAAAGGGTGATGGCTCATGGTTCTATTACACCGCCACCACGTGGCTCAACATTAGTTAAATAGAAATCAGCAAACATTCTTAATTTAGAAGATTACAAGATATATTTAATTTTATTTCATTATGTGACAAACAATTTTTTTCGTTATAAGAGTTACTCCATTTATGGCACATGTCGCGTACCTATGTTTATAATTAAAACAGGGTCTTTATGCGTTAGACGGCGCATGTTAGCATTATATCTCTCGATCGTTCGGTTTTATTTTGTCCCGTTCATTTATTTTCCAACAAATATTGCCTTACTTTCATTTCATCTGTTTATGTCAGCTTTATTGAGATGATAATATGTTACAATAAAACTATCAATTTTTTACCCCAATTGAAAATGCCGTCGCGAATCCAAACTAATTAGTGCTACATTAGCTTAATTTTTTTACGTCCATTTATGTGAACATTCTGCATTTATTTTAAAAGGAAAACAAAGTCATGTATCCACGTCAGAGTTATTTATTGAAGGAGGAAGCATGATATTTGCATAACTTATAACTAAACACATTGGGATGAGTTTAATATTCAGTGAATATGAGATATACATATTTTCGTATACAAAATATTATATATATTGGATTAAAACAATCTTTAGATTTTTCGGATGCTAACAAGGAAAAATACGTTTATGTAGTATGAGAAATGTATTATTATTCTTCAGCCTCAATAATTAATTGGTTT